CCGCCAAAACTTTCGTTCAGTCTCGGAGTGTAGATTAAAACAAAAGCTAGGTTACCGCAACAAAAGCAATGAAAATTATACTGGGAACAATCTAATCAACGACAACTCCATTCAGTCAGCAATGTTTTTAATAAAAATAACATACATTTTGTGGTGATCGTGTAACAAGTACGCACGCACCGCGGTACAGTTTCCAGGTAACCAATCAGGAAGGGGAATAACCGACCAACCCTGTGGTCTCAATTGGCATCATCCGGATTGGCTAAGTGCAAGAAGGCAAACAGATAAACCATATCCTTGTCGATTGGACATTCAAGAATCTACCAATGATTGTTTGTTGCTTGTAATATATATCTCCATGATTTTCTGAATAGAATTAACTGTATCCACAGCCCGTCTTGGTTCTACCTGACTTTGCACTATTCAGTGGGTTTTCAGTCCGATACCGAGTTCGCGCTATCCGATTTCGATTCCTGTTCCGAATATTACACATTTACATCGTTTTAAAATGGTCTTCATAGTGTGTTTTAGGGAACTAAAAGAACCCTTCATGCTGGCAGTGTGCCTGTGTGTGTCCGTAGTGCCGTCTGAGGTTGATCATGGCGTCACTGGCTATACTAGGTTTACACCTCTATCGGGTCTTACCGGAACTCTCGATCGATTGATTTCTCCATTGTTTATACCTCCTGCGTGACTCAAATTACCAAACCTGACATACGTATTCCAAGCTGCCCGTATTGTTCTCAAGGCGTTGCGGTTTTTTGCTTCAAGGGTTTCGTGTCCCTAATGGAACTTATTATACCGTTAGAACAGTTACGTTCCTCGACAATTGTGATCGTTTACCCTCTACAGTCCCAGTTCATTTTGTTTGCGCCGTACATTCGTTCGTCTACTTAAATAGGACAAAATTGAAAAATTCCGAGTTTGGGTTTTGTGGTTATTATTTGCCTAAAGAGGTAATACGCATGGAAGGGATCACTCTCTTTTAAAAGGGATCCAATGGCTGCTTCGTATATTTCTGCCGGACTTCTGGAGAAGGTTAGATCCAGGGTAGAGTGATTTTGTCCTGACCTGACCCTTGTGGGTACTAGCAAAAGCTGAGTTAGCGTCAAGTAGTAGGAGGTTTGTAGCATCTGTTCATTCAAACTGCTAAGGCAGACAGTGATGTATAAACAGCTCAGATTTGGGGAGTTAAACTCCTAGAGGAATAATATTCGGTATACTGTCCGTGAGGTATTCCTCAGCGTTAGGAGAAGTTACGCGCCTTCCGCACCGGGTAGTTAATGTCACTACAGTGGTGTTCAGCATCAACACTTGCTCGGCACACGAGATGTTTATGGTAAAATATCAGGCCCTGTACTCCAGCGCAAGACCGTAGCTACCACAACTATCGTTGGTCAGAATTGCGTTAAAAAACTGCACCCTAAACCTGTCGGCAAATAACAGTGAGTGCCAAATAACATAACTACCACAATTCAGTTAGTGGGAGGCATTCGCAAAGAAGACATTGATGAAACATCTTCCCAAGAACGTAAAATCTTAGGCAAGACGAAAGAAAACCTAATAAGCTTATTGAGATAAATTATATTAATTATACCGTTCTTATCCAAAAGACCTTTGATTTTCATAGCGTCTATCACATCTCGAATACCATATTATTACGGAACAAAGATCAGCATTAATAAGTCTCATGCCGAATTTGGTAAAGGCAAATTCTAGAAGCTTGAGGTTTTGCATAACACTGTGCACCTGTTCCCCTTGCTCAGGGGTGAGTTTGTGTTTTCCTACATATGGTCAGGAATCACTGATCTGATAACCATGACCATTATAGGTAGATAGCGTAAAAACTGTGTAAACTTCATCAATAAGGCAAACCACCCTGCTGACACAGCGTCGCACTTAGTGCTTCTAGTTAGCTCCAAAATTCACACTTTACAAATTGATTGACTTGACTGACTATCCTGCGGACTTCATCTTCACACTCAATTCTTAGTTCATCGATTCAACTATACACTCTGAGGCACTAGACTCGAGTTTCCCCTTTCTAGAGCTCACCAGTGGTGCATATAGACCGTCCCGTTTGGGATTTGAATTCCGGACCCATAGCACCACCGCCATTACTCACAAGTAACTGTCAGTTAAATGCGACTTTACAAATTAATCGAAAAACCTAAAAGATAACGTTTTATACTCTGAAGGAATCGTACAAACGCAACCCTGTAAAAGTATCTTATACATATCATTTCTACCTCTTCTTATATATCTCCCAAGTGGCTGTTTGTTTTAAATGTTTTCCAAAGGTTAATGGAGGGGAGTTATTACTGCTCCGCCATTTGCATATGCGCTGAGTGTTCTCGTTGTCTGTTGTCGACCTTTCAGTTATCTTTCCTGTGTAGCCCATCAAAGTTGTACCCAATTATTCAGGCCTGGTGGATGAGTTTGTCGTCTTAGTGAAATTGAGGAAAACTCGTGGTAACAGTAGAAATTATGCAAAATAAAATTACGTACAAATTTTGATGCATCATAATTAACGTTCACAGCAAACCCTCACTATGAGAAGAAATAGTTTCCTGCGTAAGAGAAAAGTGCAATTCAATTCTCACCGGACATTTCCGCCTTCGTGTTCTATCCTAACTACTCCGATTGTACAAACAACCCGCAAAGCATACATGTTTTTATTCACTTTTAAAAGTTTACTATTAAAATCAAAATCCGACCTGATAATGTTTCGTATGGCCCCCCTCAGTTTTTATCCTTTAGTTGCATCTTTACCTTACCGGAAAGGAAACGCTTCCGAAGATTCTGGATCACTGGGTACCATGAGACGCCAAAACAACTGTCGGAAGTCTCCATATATCCTCGGCCTGTAGTTCAGATTTGAAATTTGAATTTGCTTTGTGATGTGACTCAGTGAACAATGTGTGCGCTTTTTGATCATTCACTGAACTGCATTAAAACCCACTCAGTTTTGAGCTTTCTCGAGATGAATTTAATGAAAACTTTTAAAATAAACATCTGTTACCAGGTGAAATATGGAGTACTTCAGAAAATAATAACACGAACATCTTTGGACCAAGCAACTCTAGACTACGATACATATATTTCTTGGAATAAAATCTGATGTAATAAATGATAAATTTTGCTTAAAACGAACGAGTCTATTTGAAGATTCAATGAAAATGATTACTGACGTCAAATAATGGTTCGACAAGAGCAAGTGAATCAGGCAAGCAGAATCAAACACAGTACAAGGGTGCGGTGCAGATTTCTTGTAGTTCCCTGCCATGGGAAGCAAGATCAATAATGCCGAGATAATATGAAACGGGAGGATAATTGTCTACCAACCCTGTGTACTTGTAAAGCAATCGGTTAGCGTCTGCTTTACCACCATATAATTCACTCGTGATGATGAGGCACGTAGGCACCTCAGCGTATGATAAATGTAAAATGTCTAAAAGGGCAATAGGTTACTACTGAATGCTCTCTCTATCAGGTGTGCACTATCACGTGAATGTGCATTCACGTGATAAGAGAAGTAGTGTCAGTGATTGATCGCATTGGAGTGACGTATCGAAACAGCATGGGATGTCGATGATATGACGATCCGCTATAGGAAGTGAACAGAATTCAAAGTGCCACTCAGTCCTCTCTTTTCCAGCTAACCATATCATTTACTGTATTGCGATTATTGGTAAATAACTGAAGCGTGTTTAGTTGCACAGTATTCGCGGGATGAAATAGACGATNNATAGACGATTTCGGTTCAGGAAGATGATGCAATAAAATAGGCTAATCCCATACAGTCATCGACAAGTCGACAGAGTCCGATAGATGCCAGATCATATACAAGCTGTTTATGCATCGTTCATTTTATTTGTTCTATTTTTTCCTCTGGGGTGCTATTGTACATTGTCATTCATACAAACAACAACGGTGCTAAAAGCATCAGGGCACTTCTAGTCAAACAATACAAGTAGGCGGTTGCCACCAAACGCGTAATCTTCACCACTACTACTCATAAGTAATCTAAACAGGTAAGTAAATTTTGTGGTCCCGCCTTCGGCTCAAGTGTCAGTTGGTTGACGTTCTTTGTTAAAACTGTGTTTGGGTGGCTTTGGAAGTGTAAAACGAATATGCAGTACAATAAGACGCCATGATGAAGCATATCTCGTTCACCACAAAATCCCTTGTCAGGATAAAAGCGCACAGTTCATGGGGGAGTCTCAGGCAAGCAATCTGTTTGTGGGTTTTAGCGCTTCATGATTTAAGCAAACTAAATAAGTAAAACATAAATCTACAAACGCCATCAATTTTCTTTGAAACAGTGTATCCATTCCGTTGGAATTTGACATCTTATCGACTTGTGCGATCAGTGTATACCGCTCAAGGCTCACTGAAGCTGCAGCGTTGGAACTTGATTCGCTACCACAAGCATCGGATTGACTAACAACCAATTTGTGTACGATTCATTCAGCGAGGATCAAGGTCACTTTTAGACCAATCGCTTTCGCTAGTAAATGCTTTCGGAAGGCGACCATTCCCAGGTTTATTTAGCCACTTAGTATGCAATTCAGTCAGTTAAAATACATTCCCCTCTGCCTCACTCACCAATACATCTATCCTGTTGGGCTCTAAAGCAGTTCAACAACCCGAGCCCCTGGGGTCGGGATTTGCGTTTCTCAGAACGGAAAATCACAGCGAGTTCTTGTGCCTATGTGACCCACCAATTTAACTATTTAGCACGGTGAGATATGAAGAAAACATGCATTTACTTTACCGTGAAAATGTACGCAAATTTTAAGAAAAATATCCATGGAATTACACTATTAGTAATAATAATAATAATGGTATATCACACAACAAAAAATGGACCAGTGCTCATCTGCGTGACAGAATTCGGTTCGAAGCAGTGTGTATACAAGGGGCAAGAAGAAACCGAAATAGATCGGGACTGGTCCGAAATTGTTGTTACATAATTTGGCACAGAGCAGAACGCGTCGTTATAAACAATGGGTGATATCAATATCCGTGATCAATCCTTCTGTCTCATTTGAAAATTGATCAACAAAATGCATGAGCCAATCCAAAGGATTGAAACAAAAAAATCCCTCTTCCTGGCAACTATCGTCCTGGGGATCGGGGGCAGGAAATTTAATCGTTTCACTGATAAAAGTGTAACCGAAACGGACTCCGTGGACGAGAATTTTCGTTCGTGACCACATAGATATTTCTTGCACGCGTACGGAATAATCACGGTGTGCAAACTGTACAGCCGAGTCTATTTGAAAATGAGTACTATCTGTCTCGGAGAGAGATGATTGGACTTTGCGAAGTGAAGCACTGTCAAAACAAATTTCTGACCATCTGTGAGACAGTCGTTCACCCAAAGCAGAACGAAGACGTGGAACAAAATCGATCGGTTTCTCAAAGTGGAACCAAATGAGAATAGATTTTGTATTCCGCGGCTCAGTACAGTGGGTCACCTGTGACAGGGGCAACAGAAGTAGTTTCAATTCGCGTGCTTGTATCGAATGCGGGAAAATCACAATAGGCTTGTTTGTAGGCTTACGTGTCGCGTCCGTGTATGTCACGTGGTCGCGAGTTGCAAAACCCACTTGAAGTAGTTCTGCTAACCAGAGAATGGTGCGATTTGCAATGTGACTTGGAGTGATC